AGTCAGAAAATAAAACACGACGCATTCGAGAGTGAAAGTATAAAACGTGTATATTCACGGAGCACTTAGTTTGTAATAAAAATTAACACACAGACAGCAATAGTCTTTCTGACAGAAGATCTGACAGTGCACACTGGGCAAAAAGTGACAAAACCGCGACTAAATTGAATATCTCGGCTGCCAAACGGTTTCAGTCAACATGTTATACATATTCTCAAAGGGAAAACTCTCCTGAATCGATTGGTGGTAGTCTCATTGGCCGGAAACTTTTGCGTACCGAGATAGAGCCCTAATAAACAAATACCATAAACGAACTGTATCCCGGATGGGTTAACTATCCCACAAATGGTTTGGATGATACCCCGAACACGTCGTTAAGCTCTCTTTTATGGTTATTTTTATTAGGGAGGGCCGGGATCAACCCGAGTTCCCGGTAATGTAGGAAATGCCACTATCTTTCGACATAATTTTAGACTTTACTTAACGTATATTACTGGAAATTGATAGTACTAAGTATATATGGTTTAAAGACACCATATACGATCTCAGGAAGACTCTACTGGCCTAAAGGAGGATCTGGAACGACCGATAAAGTGGCCACATTATAAAAAATTGTGCTAGAACCTTGCGATTTTTTCTATGTTGTTCAGAATCAAGAGATCATAGCGTATTTAATGTGGAAACTATATTTTGGGGTATAGTGGCCATATTCTGGTTCTCCGGATAATCTGGATTGACCGATAAAGTGACCACGTATAACATGTTGACTGAAACCGTTTGGCAGCCGAGATATTCAATTTAGTCGCTGTTTTGTCACTTTTTGCCCAGTGTGCAGTGCATCAAAGAAATGTCACATTAGCTAGCAGGGCTGCCCAAATACCCGTCACTGGAATTGTCTTTCAACATTTTGTTCAACCTGTTCACCTCCGATATGCCGGCTCTCTCTGATGAATCAACAATCAAAAATCAACAAGCAAACAACTGCGGTTGATGTTGCAAGCTGTGATATCGCAGCTCGAAATATCAAGCTAACAAAACTCACCAGCTGCAAATTTCACCAAACTGTGGTGAGATCAGCGCAGGCAGGTCATTTTCAAGAAAATCTGGCCCAGTTAAAATATAAAATCTGGAAAAATCTGGAATGCTTCTAAAATTCCAGTTTTAACATAATGCTATTGAAATAAAAGTGATGGACCAATCTACCGTTAAAATCGGTCAGTATAATCATCTGGAATTTATTTAAAATACTACAATGGTTATGCATTACAAGTTTAAATAAATTATATGAAGCAAATAACTTGTTAGCATAGCTGAAATCACAAACGAAGTGACAGACGGAGCGGCTCGAAAACTTTGGGGACTAACCTACTATTTCAATTCAGTGTACCACATGGCAACACCACTACTACTAGATTGTACCACATGGCAACACTACTACTGGATTGTACTAGCATTTTCACCAAATGTATTAGAATGTTTTGGTTCTATCTCTTTCACTCTACTCAAAAACAAAAATGACAAAATGATACACTCTTTGCACACTGTCAAAGAATCATTGTACACAAAATCAACTTTGTTCAAATCAAAACAAAAAAAAACTAACCCATCTGGTGGATGATGGCACAAGCTTCCAAGAAAATTCTATTACAGTGAACCACGTTATTTTAATGGATTTCTTCGCCAGTTAGTCGTCTGTCACTTCGTTTGTGGCTGAAATCATCCAAAAGCTGTACAGTATTGAAATATCCAATAAGCATAATTTAAAAAATTGAGTTCAAAGTGGGTAAAATGCTGCAAAAAATATTTTTAGAATTGTTTCTCAAACTGCAACTTTTTCAAAAAGAATGAGAAGCAAAGAATCAAGCAAATTTGATGAGATGGATTTTCTAAACTAATAGTACGCTCAGGCTATATCTGATATCATGTAATATAGACTATCTTGCAATGAGCACTCATACATAGGATTTCCAGTGAAAACTAGATGTATGAGTGATCATTGCAAGATAGCCTATATTACATGATATTAGCCATAGTCTGTACGGGGTATAATAGTCTTTGTAGTCCTTACTATGTGCCCAGCAAACAATTTTAGCTGCAGCTTAGCTTATACAGGTAAACATTAGCTGCATAAGGCAAATTTTGGCTGTATAAGCTAATCTGCAGCTAAAATTGTTTGTTGGGTGATGCAGTACAAAAATTTAAAGATTTTATTAGTTCTAAATAATTCTAACATTACCCTGAGGTTGAACAAATTTCCAATTTAATTCTTGACATCATACAACACGCAATACCCAGTAGACCAGTAGGCAATTTTATTTTGAAGCAAAATTCACCTGGCTGAAGTGGGAATCAAAGTTTAACATCATGGTACTCACACACAGTTTACCTAAACTACGGGTAACTCCAACCATTACGAATAATTTTATGCCAAAGAATATTTTTATTATATTACTAAAATAAAAGTCTGGTAGCTTCATTTTTGAAGTCTCAGGATCTTCAAATGATTCCAAATTCCTGAATTTATATTTTTGCTGGGTCCCAGATCATGACATTTTTGGTTAGCCTGAATTTACTTGGAACTAGTTCCATTGGAATCATCTTAGAATTCCATTATACTTCCTTTCTATATTCCCCTGAAATAATCTTGATACTATCTAAACTTTTCCAGTAACCAATTCCACAATTCCCTCAAACTGGTAATAATTTCCAAGAATTGGCACAACTTTTACTCCATTTTTCTCTATGAAATTCTTAAAATATTCTTAATAATTGCCTTGGTACACTCTTCAAAATGACCGTCACACTCTTCTCAGACTCATCCAATATTTCTCTTTGAACTGCTTTGTAGGTAAAAATTGTTTTGACATCCTCTTCAGTTTTTCCTAATTACTCAAGTACTTTGCCAAAATGGTTTTGAAAGTTTCCCAGAAATTCCGCATGATCCCGTTTAAATGTCTTAAATTTTTATTAAAATGAATCTCCATAGAAACATTGGACAGAATTCCATTGAAATTATTCTAACGATTCGTATCAGCATACTCCTTAATTTTCAGCATAAGAATTTTCTATGATTTCTCTTCCAGATTGTGTTTCTTTTATTCACAAAATCTCCATGCAATTGTCATAAGCGTTGACAAGACAATTGACACCGTCTTCAACCACAGACTGATTATTTAACACTAGACAACAGACGACACACCACACCCAGTAGTCCAGTAGGGAAATTTTTAGGTAGTCAAAATTTGCACCGGCTGGAGCGGGAATCGAACATTCACTTCATGGCACTCACAATACGCCTGAACGACGGGTGAAGTCGCACGACCGCAAAGCCCACAAAAATGGATGGAACTCTGCTCAGAATTAGCTTGAAATTCTCGTTTGATTTCACAAGTAATTCACTTTACAATTCACTGTGAACTATTTTCAGAATTACCTTAAAATTCCAATAATGTTCAACGTTGATGGACTTTAATAATTAAAGTAGTATGTTTGGTTTTTTTTATTTTTTGATTAGATGGTAAATCAATTTCAGTGATATTTTTAAAGTAACATGTTAAAAAAAAATCTGGGAAAATCTGGAACATATTTAAAAAATCTGGAAATATACGTGGTCTGTCTGTGTATCTGGCAAGATGATTAAAAATCTGGAAAATCCAGATAAATCTGGAATACTGGCAACGCTGGGTGGGATTGAGTTTAATGATTTTTGCTTTACACCCGAACGCAACCGAAGCTTCCATAACGGCTGACAGCAGTTCCTTCGTAAAAAGAGATAGCAAACTATACTTTCTCTTTCTAAGAAAACGACATGAAACGGAATCATGTTTGTGTCGAGTCAGCTCTAAGTTTGATTTTTGCACGTTGTGAATAGTCTCGCAATATCAAAGGAGCTTGTAAAATCAATATCAAGCATGTAGGGTTTTTGATCTAATTTCCATCCTACTAAGCACAACGCGCACTTTACCTCTCTTTTCTGAACGAGTTTAAACTCCTTTCCATTGGATTTAATAAAGAGCCACAAATTGTTGAGATATTGCTTAAAATCTAATACTGCTTCTTGATTCTAAATTCGTTCTACGAGTTTCAATTCCGTCCTAACGCATTGAAACGCCATTAGATTTTCTTCGTCCTACGGATAAACGTAGAAAAAGGGGATTCGCAGGGAGCACTTCTTTTGTTTTGAGAACAATGTGCGTAAATATTCATACAATGCGCTCTAACAGGATTTATGTTGTAGCTAATGAACTAACGCATCGGAACAAACCTATTATTGATTTGTGTACGGTGAAATCATCGATATTATTGATCTTTTCTGATCGATAGAACGGAAATGGGCGATTAAGACGAAGTAGCGCTCTACCCTATTGTATTCAAATTTAACAAAAAATCATCTTGCCTGGGATTGGATCTTACCTCATTTTAGCATTATCCAATCTTCAGAATTCTTAAAATTTCTCCCGGATCGTAAAATTCCACTAGGCTTACGACATGAAACCACAACCTTGCTGCATTCGTCAATTTCAAATTTCAAATCAGGAAGTTAGTTTAACTGAAAACCATCAACTCATTGAAAATATGTACCCCCCTAGCCTCGGGTAAGCCGCGAGTATTCGGCCCAACTCCTACTAGACATAGAATTAAGTGAATTTTGTTACAAACAAAGTACAATGAATTATCGGCTCCGTAAAGCTAACGCGATTGAGTCTTACAAATAAACGAACTAGATAAATAAAAACACATTGAAATTGAATAGTTCACCACCCCAGACGAAACGAGTAAAGATGGTCTGGAGTTTTTTAACCAGCAAAAAAACGTTATCGCTGTAATTTATACCGCCAGCAATTCAAACAAGACATGACATCCGAACGTTTCTCATAACCTCAATTGCATCTGATTATACCCCATCTTCGCCTCACTCAGTCTGGATTTAAATTTTGTTTACTCACGCATTATGTTCATCTCGTCCCTATCCCCCACCCCCCCCCCCCCAATTCTCGCAGGTGATTTATTTAGAGAATAATTCGATTCAACGCCTCGACGCGGAGACGCTGTCAAGTTTATACAGCCTGGAGCAGCTGTATCTGAGCGGGAACCACATCCGGCGCGTTCCGATGGGATTCTTCGAAACGACGAGCAAACTGCAGTCGCTGAGTTTAGATAATAATTTGATAAGCGAGCTGGATGTACGGGTGTTTCGGCGGCTGCTCAGACTGCGGGAGATTCGACTGAACGGTAATCAGCTTCGGCTGATCCAGGAGCAGTTGTTCGGGACGCTGCAGGGTCTGATGGAGCTCCATTTGCAAAATAATGCGATTAGGGTGATTGAGAGGAACGCCTTCAAACACTGTCGACTGCTTCAATACATCAATTTGCAGGAGAATGAGTTGGACGAGATTGATATAATTTTCTCCTACTCGACGGAGGCCACCGCCAACCACCTGCAGCAGCCGCTGACGGCACGAGGGAAGCTGATTACGACCAAAACCGGCACTAATGATCCATCATATTTCGGAGAATTGGATCCGGCGGCATCGTCTGCGTTGATTTCGATTCAGCTAAACTCCAATTCCATCAAGTATCTCCATGGACACTCGTTCCAGGGCCAGAGCAGTGTGCAAATCATCTGGCTCGAAAATAATCAGCTCAAGAGCTTAGACAAGGTGCTGCTAGTTGATTTGATTCAATTGGAGAGGCTTTACTTGAGGAACAATACCCTGTCCAGTATCGAATCGAATGCTTTCGATTCGCTTCGAAGGCTTCGATATCTAGATATGAGTCTCAATAGGTTGTCCAGTATGAATGAGAAACTCTTTAAGAATTTAGCAGAACTGGAAGAGCTGTTATTAAACGAAAACCAATTGCAGAAGCTACCGTCGAATGTTTTCGGGCCACTTCACAAGCTTCGTTCACTGGACCTGAGTGATAATCCCTTGGGGATTCTCGAGACGAGCGTCTTCCAACCGAATTTCTCCGTCAGTGTGATAAATCTGAAAGGCTGTGAATTGAGTCGCATCGAACCCGAAGCATTCAAGGGTCTGCAGAACCTAAATGAACTGAATCTGGACGACAACTACCTGAGACCCGATGACATCAAGCAAATTGACGCCAGTTCGCTGAGAACCCTCCGGTTGACGTCCAACAACTTCACCGTAATCCGGGAAAGCACCCTGGACCGATTGCCCTCCCTTCAAGTCCTGGTCCTTGAGCGTTGCTCCATAAGAGACCTTCCCTACTCGCTGTTCAGTAAGAACAACAATCTGGTCAAGCTGGACTTGAGTCACAACTTCCTCCGCTCCCTCAAGCGCAACATCTTCAACAACCTGAATGTGTTCAAAGAACTCCGTCTCCACAACAACAACATCAACGATTTCCCTCACACTGCCTTATCCAACATCTCAACCCTGGAGATCCTAACCCTATCCCGCAATCAACTGACCAACGTCGACTTCTTCAAACTCCACGGTCTCCCCAATCTTCGACATCTGGATCTCCAAGACAACATCATCTCGTCCTTATCCGGCTTCAATACGGTCACTCTCCCGCATTTGGATATGATCGATCTGAGTGGCAACCTGCTGCTAGCCCTCCCGGAAAACTTCTTCAAACACTCGATCAGTCTCCAGCGGATTGACCTGTCCTGTAATCGGTTCAATCAAATCCCGAATGCTGCCCTATCGGAATTCTCCCTGGCCCGGCTCGCGTGGCTCAACCTTACCGGAAATCCCCTGCAACAAATTCACCACACCATGTCCGTGGACGCCGACCAGCGTCGTTTCCCCTATCTCAAAGAACTCCACATCAGCCAAACAAACCTGACGATCCTCACGAGCAAGGATTTCGACATCTACCCGGCCCTGCAACGTCTCTACCTGGTTCAGAACCGCATCAACCGAGTTTCACCGGGAGCGTTCGTTGCTCTATCCAACCTGCAAATCCTGGATCTCAGTGTCAACGAGATCGAGATGCTACCCAAGGAACGCCTCCAGGGCCTTCGCCTGCTGGAAATCCTCAACATTTCGACCAACAACATCAAAGAGCTGGACGAGTTCACCGATGACCTGCAAAAGTTGAAGATCCTGGACATTTCCTCCAACCAGTTGGAGCGAATCCAGAAGAACACCCTCCGGCACTTGGTGGCCCTGCAGGAGCTGTACCTGCAGGGAAACCGAATTCGCAGCATATCGTCGGATGCATTCCGCTCGCTACGGGCGCTCGTTACGCTGGATCTGCAGAAGAACTTCTTCGAGGATGTTCCGCTGAGGGCACTGAAGCCGCTGGAGACGCACCTGAAGCAGCTGCGGTTGGAAGGTAAGTTGAGTTGGGGATGATTTTATTGGTATTTTACAGATGTGCAGCGTATCTACAAGGGAAACTTTGGAAAGGGGTCTATGAAGGATTTTGACGGATTTTAATGAGGTTCTGTCGAATATCAGAAAGAGATTTTGATGAATCACAGGGCGAGGTTTTGACGAATCTCGGAGTGAGATTCTGATGAAGCTTCGGACGAGATTTTGATCAATCTCCGGAAAAGATTGGAACGAATCACCGGGCGAGAATGGAATGAATCTCCTGGCGAGATTCAAATGAATCTCCAGACGAGATTTGAATGAATCTCCTGACGAGATTTGAATAAATCTCCTGACGAGATTTGAAAATATCTCCAGGCAAGATTCAAGTGTATTTCCACAAGAGATTCTAATGAACCTTCAGGTTGTATTCGAAAGGTATATCGTGCAAGATTTAAACAAATGTCTGAGGAAGATTTGATTGGCTCTTCCAACAAATTTTATTAGAATCTCCAGGCGAGATTCAAGTGAATCGCCACAAGATATTCTAATGAACCTTCAGGTGATATTCGAAAGTTATATCGCGCACGATTTAATCTAATCTCTGAGTGAGATTCGAACGACTCTCCGAGCGATATTTGTTAGAATCTCCAGGCGAGATTCATTAGATTCATTAGATTCATCAATTTTAAAGTTCCGCTAGAATCTCGTTCAGTATCCAAAGATCAAATCTCTTGACGAGATTTAGGTTAATCTCTGGACAATATTATGACAAATCTTTAAATGTGATTCTGGAAATTTTTTGGAAGTTATTCTTATAAATCTCTGGAGGAGATTCTGATGAATCTCTAGAGGAGATATTGATAAATATCGTAATGCCATTCTGATGAACCCTTGGATATGTTTCTGATAAACCTCTGGACGGATTCTGACGAAATCTCTGGATGATACTTCGAAAAACAACTATACCAAATACTGACGAATTTTTTAATGAGATTTTAGTATAAAATTCTAACGAATCTTCGGATAACATTGTGAACAATCTGCGGGCGAGATTCTGATGAATCTGTGGACGAGATTTTAACAAATCTTCGGGTGAATTTTGAACAAGATTCTGGCAAAAATCTGTACGGCTTTCTGATGAATCTCTGATCGTGAATCTGATGAACTTTAAATGAAATTCCTACCAATCTCTGGATGAGAGTTTGATGAAGATTTTGAAGTACTATTAGTCAAGATTCTGCTGGAACTCATGATGAGATTCTGACGAATTATTCAATGAGATTGTGAAGAATTTCTGGTTGCGATCCTAACGAATCTCTGAATGATGTTTCATCGTATCCTTGGTCGAAATTATGATAAATCTTGGGAAGAAAAGTTGACGAATATAAGGACAAGATTTTGAAGAATCTATGATCGAAATTTTGATGAATTTCATAACGAGATTCTTACGCATCTTAGGACGAGATTCTGGAAAATTTTAGGAGGAGATTCTGGCGATGCTCAGGGCGAATTTCTGACGAATCACTGAACGAGATTCTGACAAATCGCTTAATTAGAATCACTTCTGACGAATCGCTGTTTGCAAGTTTGAACAAGATGCTGTCAAATGTATGAACGAGTTATTGACGAATTAATGAACGAGACTATTGCCAATCTGTGTACGAGATTCTGTAGAATCTGTGACTGAGATTCTGCCGAATCTCTAATTGAGATTCTGTCGAATCTCGGAATGAGATTCTCTCGAATCTCAGAACGAGATTCTCTGGAATGAAGGATCTCTCGAATCTCGGAATGAGATTCACTCAAATCTCGGAATGAGATTCTCTCAAATCTCGGAATGAGATTCGGTCGAATCTAGGAACGAGATTCTGTTCAATCTCGGAACGTTCTCTCGAATAATTGAATGAGATTCTGTCGAATCTTTGAATAAAATTTTGGCGAATATCTGAATGAGATTTTGTAGAATCTGTGAATGACAATCTGTTGAATCTCTGATGGAGAATCTGTCGAATCTCTGATGGAGATTCTAGCGGACCTCTGATGGAAATTCTGTCAAATATCTGATGGAGATTATGTCGAATCTTTGATGGAGATTCAGTCGAATCTCTGATGAAGATTCTGATGAATCTCTAATGGAAATTCTGTTGAACCTTTGATGGAATTTCTGTCTAATCTCTGATGGAGATTCTATCGAATCTCTGAAAGAGATTCTGTCGAATCTCTGATGGAGATTCTGTCGAATCTCTGTTGAAGATTCTGATTGAATCTCTAATGGAATTCTGTCGAATCTCTGATGGAGATTCTGTTGAATCTCTGATGAGGATTCTGATTGAATCTCTAATGGAATTCTGTCGATTCTTTTAAGGAGATTCTGATGAATATCTGATGAAGATTCTGTTGAATCTGTAATGGAGATTCTGTCGAACCTCTGATGGAATTTCTGTCGAATCTCTGATAACGATTCTGTCGAATCTCTGATGGAGATTTTGTCGAATCTCTGATGGAGATTCTGTTGAATCTCTGAATGAGATTCTGTTGAATCTCTGAATGAGATTCTGTCGAATCTCTGAATGAGATTCTGTCGAATCTCTGATGGAGATTCTGTCGAATCTCTGAATGAGATTCTGTCGAATCTCTGATGGAGATTCTGTCGAATCTCTGAATGAGATTCTGTCGAATCTCTGATGGAGATTTTGTCGAATCTCTGATGGAGATTCTGTAGAATCTCTGATGGAGATTCTGTCGAATCTCTGATGGAATTTCTGGCGAATCTCTGTTGGAGATTCTGTCGAATCTCTGATGGAGATTCTGTCGAATCTCTGATGGAAGATTCTATCGAATCTCTGATGGAGATTCTATCGAATCTCTGATGGAGGTTCTGTCGAATCTCTGATGGAGATTCTGTCGAATCTCTGATGGAGATTCTATCGAATCTCTGATGGAGGTTCTGTCGAATCTCTGATGGAGATTCTGTCGAATCTCTGATGGAGATTCTGTCGAATCTCTGATGGAGATTCTGTCGAATCTCTGATGGAGATTCTGTCGAATCTCTGATGGAGATTCTGTCGAATCTCTGATGGAGATTCTGTCGAATCTCTGATGGAGATTCTGTCGAATCTCTGATGGAGATTCTGTCGAATCTCTGATGGAGATTCTGTCGAATCTCTGATGGAGATTCTGTCGAATCTCTGATGGAGATTCTGTCGAATCTCTGATAACGATTCTGTCGAATCTCTGATGGAGATTTTGTCGAATCTCTGATGGAGATTCTGTCGAATCTCTGATGGAGATTCTGTCGAATCTCTGATGGAGGTTCTGTCGAATCTCTGATGGAGATTCTGTCGAATCTCTGATGGAGGTTCTGTCGAATCTCTGAATGAGATTCTGTCGAATCTCTGATGGAGATTCTGTCGAATCTCTGATGGAGATTCTATCGAATCTCTGATGGAGATTCTATCGAATCTCTGATGAAGATTCTGTCGAATCTCTGATGGAGATTCTATCGAATCTCTGATGAAGATTCTGTCGAATCTCTGATGGAGATTCTGTCGAATCTCTGATGGAGATTCTGTCGAATCTCTGATGGAGATTCTGTCGAATCTCTGATGGAGATTCTGTCGAATCTCTGATGGAGATTCTGTCGAATCTCTGATGGAGATTTTGTCGAATCTCTGATGGAGATTCTGTAGAATCTCTGATGGAGATTCTGTAGAATCTCTGATGGAGATTCTGTCGAATCTCTGATGGAATTTCTGGCGAATCTCTGTTGGAGATTCTGTCGAATCTCTGATGGAGATTCTGTCGAATCTCTGATGGAAGATTCTATCGAATCTCTGATGGAGATTCTATCGAATCTCTGATGGAGATTCTATCGAATCTCTGATGAAGATTCTGTCGAATCTCTGATGGAGATTCTATCGAATCTCTGATGAAGATTCTGTCGAATCTCTGATGGAGATTCTGTCGAATCTCTGATGGAGATTCTGTCGAATCTCTGATGGAGATTCTGTCGAATCTCTGATGGAGATTCTGTCGAATCTCTGATGGAGATTCTGTCGAATCTCTGATGGAGATTCTGTCGAATCTCTGATGGAGATTCTGTCGAATCTCTGATGGAGATTCTGTCGAATCTCTGATGGAGATTCTGTCGAATCTCTGATGGAGATTCTGTCGAATCTCTGATGGAGATTCTGTAGAATCTCTGATAACGATTCTGTCGAATCTCTGATGGAGATTTTGTCGAATCTCTGATGGAGATTCTGTCGAATCTCTGAATGAGATTCTGTTGAATCTCTGAATGAGATTGTTAAAGATTTTAACGAATCTCTGAGTGATTTTCTGAGAAATCTGTGGATCAGATTGTGACGAATCTCTGCGTGAAATTCTAACGAACCACTATACGAGATTCTACCGAAGAGGTTTTGCAGGATTGGTAGACGAGATTCTGCCAAATTTCCAGCCGATATTTTGCTGAATCTCTGGACAAGATTTTTCCGAATCTTTGGATGAGATTCTGCTGAATTATTTACAAGATTCTGTAGACTCGCAAGACTAGATTCTGTCGAATCTTTGGACTAGATTCTGGTGAATCTCTTGATAAGATTCTGCCGAATCTTTGGACTCTATTCTGCCAACTCTTTGGACTAGATTCTGCCGAATCTTTGGACTAGATTCTGCCGAATCTTTGGACTATATTCTGCCGAATCTCTAGATAAGATTATGCTGAATCTCCGGATGGGATTCTGTTCAATCTTCAGACGAAATTCTGCCGAATCTCCAGACTAGATTCTGCTGAATCTTCAGACGAGATTCTGCCGAATCTTTAGAAGAGATTCTGCCGAATCTCCGGACGGAGATTCTACCGAATCTCTAGATGAGATTCTGCCGAATCTTCAGACGAGATCTGCCGAATCCCCATACGAGATTCAGCTGAATCTCCAGATGAGTTTCTGCCGAATCTTCAGATAAGGTTCTGCCAAATTTGCAGAAAAGTTTCTGCCAAATCTCCAGACGAGATTCTGCCAAATCTCCAGACGAGATTCTGTTGAATCTCTAGACTAGGTTCCGATGAAATGCTAGACGAGATTCTGTTGAATCTCCGGATGTAATTCTGTTGAATTTCCATACGATAATCGGTTGAATTTCCATACGAGGTTCTGTTGAATCTCCGGAAGTGATTCTGTTGAATCTCCAGACGATATTCGGTTGATTTTCCATAAGAGGTTCTGTTCAATCTCTGGATGAGATTTTGTTGAATCTCCAGACGAGGTTCCGATTAATCTCCAGACGAGATTCCGATGAATCTCCAGACGAGATTCTGTTGAATCTCTGGACGAGATTCTTTCGAATCTCCGGACGAGATTATGTTGAATTACCGGACAAAATTCTGTCGATTCTCCGGACGAGATTCTGTTGAATCCCCGGACGAGATTCTGTTGAATCTCCGGAATCTTTGGACGACATACTGTCGAATCTCCGGATGAAATACTTCTGAACCTCAGTTCGAGATTCTGATTAATATCTGGAAGAGATTCTACAGAAACTCTCGATGATTTTTTTATTTATATTCTGCCAAATCTCCCTATGAAATTCTCTCGAATCTCCTGACTGGATTCTATTGAATATATTGATAGGCTTCTGCTGAATCTCCTGACGAGTTCCACCGAATCTCCGGGAAACATTATTTTAAATCACTTGTCAAAAATCCGTAGAATCTCTAGATGAGATTCTCCTGAATCTTTGGACAGAATTCTTCCGAATTTCCGGATGAAATTCTGCTTAATCTGCTTAAATGTTAGCAATTCTGATTAATCTTCAGACCAGATTCTGATTAATCTCCTGCCGAGATTCTGATGCAGTTCCAGACAAGATTTTGTTAAATCTCCTGATAAGATTCCGCCAAACAATCGGATTAGATTCTGTCAGAATCTTGTCCAGTGACTCTGGATGATTTTTTATCTAGATTCTTCGAACTGGATTCTATCAAATCTCTGGACAACATTCAGTCGATTCTCTGGACGGGATTTTTTTTAATCTGTGGAGGATATTCTTTGAAATCTCTGAAATAGATTCCATCCAAACTTTCGATAACATCCTGATGAATCTCTGGTCAAGAATTAGATCAATCTCTGAAGGAGAATTGGCTGAATCTTTGTTTGAAATTCTATTGAATCTCCGTAGAAAATCTCCGGAGATTTTTTTTTTAAATCTCCGGTTGAGATTCCGTTTATAATGATTAATTTGCTTTCCTTCTAATTTGTCGGTAGTGACATCAGGTGACGCTACCCTTCTGCGATTTTTGTTGTTTTGCACGCCGAAAAAAGTCACCGCCTACTGCAATCGCCACCGAAGAGTGACCATTCCCGCAATGGCAGTTAATTGTTTTGATTGTTCAGCATTTTGCTTTGATTAACACTCGAAACTGAGCCATAATCTTCCTTCCTTGGAAACCCTTCCGAAGAACGACTTTTCCCGGGAAGGTCTTTCATTTTGAAATTTGTTCACTCGTTAGCGTAAAACTTTTCCGCTTCTGGCTTGAACTTGTTCTGCTTGCTTTATTTTTTTTTTAGGTTATCAAGACTTAATAAAATCGTAATGATTTTAACGATTCGACCCGTCCTTGTCGTCATCGTCGCTGTGAAACTGTACAAACGGAACAAATTGTCGATCAATGTTTTTTTTTTGTGACGACGATGCACCCTTTCCGGAGGGAGCCAAAATCGAAAGGGGACCAAAATGAAAATGAATGTTACAAGCTCGCATTAATATTGATTGCGACGGCCGAAAAAAAAGTTAGGTTAAGGTTCGATTTTGCAAAATTTCCGCACTGGGTGCCGATGATGTTTAACGATTACGATTATGACGTTTCATTATAGATTCAGATGGCAGATGGCGGTAACGAGTTTTTCTGTTTTTTTCATGCTTTCGTTTGCAACAGAAAATCATCTCAACTGTTCGTGTGACACGCAGGAACTGTGGGAGTGGTTGGGCGATCACCGGAGGTGGACCAGCGACAACGTGCGATGCGAGCAACCGGTGGAGGTGCATGGCAAGAGTCTCCTCACGATGGAACCGCAAGAATTTTGCGACATCCCGCTGATTTTGAAGATTGCTATCCAGGACATTCAACCGTACTCGGTGCTGGTTTCGTGGCAGAGTCGGGAACATTCCGGTCTCCACGGGTACCATGTGATATTCCACTCGTTGGACACGGTGGAGGATGTAAGTAACTGTTTTGTGGGATCGGGTGGATGAGTGTGCCATGCTTTTACGCTTTTACTCGTGTGACGCCCTAGCAACCGTGTGTTTTCGTTATTTTTCTTTTGACAGATTCGTGGAAAAACGCTAAACCGACTGGCCAATTCTGCTAAACTGGATCGTCTGTCATCGAATACGCGGTATTTGATTTGTGTGCTCGGGTTAGGCAACTGGCTCTCGTATCAGAGTGACATCCACAGCCTACTGAACCAATCGAATCAGATTCAAAATCAGGTTCTGAACAATCAAAATGGCTACATGAATGGCGAGCTGGATGCTTCGTTCTCCAACACCTTGCTGTCGCTGATGATGGACACTCCGACGTCCAGGTGCACCGAGGTGAGGACGTTGGATGCTATCGGGCCGAACCCGCTGGCTGAGGTGGATGGGATGTCCAGTCAGGGTATCATACACTCAATCCTAACCAGAAGGTTGGGCCTGATAGTGGGTTGCTGCCTGGGGATAATCGTGTTTATTGTCCTCGTTTCGGTCTTGGGATATCTGAAAATCAAAAAGCAAAGGCTGGATGCAGCCAAGCGACAGCAGCAACCGATGGCACCGGAATTCATCTCGTACCGGCATTTCTCCATCCCAAACGATGAAAACGGAAGGGATGGAGTGGCGGCTGCGGGTGGGACGAACAGTTTCCTGCATAATAATCATCTCCATCAACATCATCATCATCATCATCAGCAACAACCGCAGCCAGCCACCACGGTTGAAGGACATCCGAGCTTTATATCCGGGGCAGTGCTGGGAACGACGACGACCCTGAACGGAGGCGGCACCGTTCCCGGTGGCGAGGAACGGAAGAAGATTTTCATTGACAGTTGAAAACAATAAGGACCACCTGCGCAGAATATCGGGCTTTGTCAATTAGGTTGTTGATTCCACCATCTTGTTTTCCGATTTTATATACCGAACAAACACAAATCTCTAGTCAGCTAGAAACTAATCTGCTTCCTTCTGCTACTCTTCTACTCGCACACCACGGTTAGAAGAACCGGAGAACTGAAAATTGAAACAACGAGCAAAATGAAACTTACGAAACATACCTACATAAATCAAAACAAAACAAAAGTAGAAGCATCCATAAATATTTAGCAGAGAAATCAAAAGTGTTAATGAGCTACAAACAAACCGAATCGAATGAGAGGGAGGAAACATATAAATCAAAGCAAGCGCGGCAGAGTGACACCGTGGAAGGCGAAGATGTCAAATTTGTGTGTAAATAGCTTTACGGGTCGGTTGCGTCGGGGATCGACGCGACGAGGTGGAAGGAAATCGAAAGAAGTCATTCCTGTAAATAGGGCGCGAATCGAAACTGTGCATGGGCAAAAGTTTGATGATACAAGAACAACAACAACAAGTGAAAGCAAACAAGAACACAGTAAAAGAAAGCTAAACGAAACGGTAGGTAAATAAATTTTAAATTTCCGAGCGCAACATCAGAGCAAGCCAGCCGGGTGAAGTGAGTGTGGCAATGATCGTCGTATCGAGCCAACAGTGCGTCGGAGAGGTTAGGGGCAGATAATAATTAGCGCGCCCCGAACAAAGAGGCAAAAGGTGAGCTCTACCGGTAGTTCACAAAGTTTAATGTAATCGGTTCGGAGGGAATGGGGCAGTCCGGGGAAGGGCGGTAATAAAGGAAACTTTGTACCGGACGCTCGACGGAAATAATGGTTATTGCAATTAGTTTGTTTTCTTCTCGTCCTCGAAGAAAGGAAACACGAGCGCTTGGACGTTTTGTGGGGATACTGAATTTAAGTTACACACTTTGTTGTTGACTGATTGGGAACGTGAGGTGAGTGAGTGAGTGAGTGGATGGTGATGAGATGAGTGCCAGCCGAAGAGTGATCGACGACAGTTCTTATGATGAGATACGTTGGGCAACGGGAATTAGTTGAATCGCGACGATCATGCCTGTAGATATTTGTTGACAAATTGAGTTGAAGTTTGAAAGCTGATAGGAAAAGTTGCTTTACTGAAAATCCTTTTTACAAACATTACTTATAATACTACCGATGCGATGATGGAAACGATACTCTACTAGCGAGTAGATGAACGACGTGGCAGATAAACAGAATCAAATTTTATAAATCAAAACAAAGCATTAAATTTTAGAGATTTTGACAAGTAAGAACTAATGTATCCCTCTACTTGTAGGTAAGAAGAAATGAAAGTGGGATGAAAATGTAAACTAAATATTAAGCAAGTAAACAGAAGAAAAAAAAATGGAAACAGTTACGTACGTACTAGCGGAAGAACCAGTGGAAGAAAGTGAATTAAATAAACAGTAATAATAATCAATTGGACGTTGTTGCGTTTTGAGCGATAGCTTAAAAAGAACGATTCCTAGAACAGAAGGTAAGTGCACCGAGAATATAAACAATCAGCTGCATAGCAGCTTTTTCCAGCAATTAATGAAACCGCAGTGACGCGTGATAAAACCCCCAGCAAACGAATTCAATTTTGCCGCAAAATATTTCCGCCGAGTGTCGCCAAGTGTTGCCAAGTGTTGCCAAGTTCGGCGGGCGTTCAAAGCCTACTGGTGCTGCTACACACGCACATACACCACCCCCAGCTTGTTGAATCGATGCTGTATTCCATTATGCTCTGTTTATGAATTGTATATGCGTTTTCGATAGTATTAATGAGCTTGGAGTAGGGGGAGGAGCCTAGTCGGAGGGAAACATTCAATACTTCAATTGAAGTTGCGTTATTTAGCACGAAAAATGGACAATTTACCACTCTTCACAGCATGCAATTGGATGGTTTTAGAATTGCAAATATGTTGCATTTGCGGTTTGAACACAACTATTTTCAATTACAGTTGGCTTGCAATTTGATAGAGAAAATATCAAAAATATAATTGGTATGTATAGTGGCAATTTGATGTAATGAATTATGTTGTGCAGAGTGTGATTAGATATTTTATGGGCTGTAATTAATTTCATTATGAACAATGAAACTGCAAGGTTGATTGTTCTGGGCTTGATTGTACTATTTACTTGTTTGTAACAAACTAAAGCTGTACCGTGGACCCCCAGTAATCAGACCGTTTTTAACCCGTAAAGATTTTATAGATTTTTTCATGTGGCTTGATAAAAGAGAATTTCGGTGTATGTTTCCACTTCTTTCATAACAAAATTGTAGTTTTACATATTTGAAATACTACCAGCAAAAAAAAAACAAATTTTAGATTTTACCTCTCTGAATTTTATCAAACTTCAGCTTACTCACCGGGTGAGTCGATCGTACTAACTTTCGTCCGATGTATCGAGTTTTCAAAAACCGAGTAAACAAGAAATGTCAAACTGAGTAAAAGCCATTTAGTCAGCACAATCCTGGACTTAGGAAAAATGCCAGCCATGTAGAAGGAAAAGTCCTTATTCTTATACTTATTGTGATGATAAGCTTATCAAATCCAGTAATTCAGCCTTGTTCCGTGAAGTCTATCAAAATGCCCACCTTCAAATCCTCCTTGTCTTAACCTCTTCCCATTGATCCGATATAATTCATCGCAATTTTATTGACTTTTAATACCGGATTGAAAGGGGAAAAATCCCCCTGCCCAGTAGCAAGCTGTTGATCTTCTCGGTGGTGTTTGACTACCTACTGTTGCAACCGAGCAACATAGCATAGCACCAGCGAGCGTTAAAACTCGGTCAGGAAAATTTATGGGCCTGGCAGCTAGTGGGGTAAAACTTTACGGCTTCACCGACAGATGCTCAAGGTTTTTTTTTTCCGGGATGGTTATGGAGTGTGGATTGAGGAAAATTTAAGTAATTGAATGATGTTTGAAGCACGTACATTTAGACCGATTAGAGAATTGAAATTTGTCAACCGAAACTGCGAGAATTTTCGACACATCACCCAATTGTTGCACGCGCCACATTGTTTACTGACGTTTACCAATCATGGTGACATGCTAATTAGTGATCAATTGTGGAATGATAAAACATGTCTTTTTGATATTCAGTACTTTGATAAAAGTAGAAGGGTCTGTGCCTAGGGGCACGAACGGAAGCTTGACGTAGGACCACTAGTGGACGGAACAAATGTGTACATTTAGTTCTTTTAATTGATCAATCATCAATTATCTCAACTCTTTCCGTTTTTTATTTGTAAGCGTATCAAATTTGTAGTATTTATTTCAAAGAGAAAGTTGATGAAGAGAATCCAAGGGACTGTCAACTTGAGTATTTTCGATTCATCTACCCGACTTTAAAAGGTGTATTTTGAATTTTTTTTGTTATTTATGAATTTTTAAGTTTTGTGCATTTTGGTATTAAATGTATTCAATTCACCCCTCACAGGATTTCCTTACGAATTATATGAATGGGGCGGAGGGACTTCGAGAGATTGAACTCGTGAGAGCTAATTATCTCACAAATTTGATTTTATTTGCTTTCTGGGGACTGAATATACACTCAAGGCTAATTATTCCCACTTCTCTCAAATTCTATATGGATTTTTTGGACGATGATTACTCTCACCAATACATTTGGGCCTACAATTCCACACCTTCTATAGAGACCAGGTTGAGCCTTGATAGATAGCTGCTTGCGGGAACTGATGACCTTGACAAATGTCCAAATAATACTCTTAACAAATTGATGTTGGTCCTGAAAAGGACCGTTTTGTAGTGAGGGTTGAGTAATTCTGAGCTGGGTGTTCAACACGGATGAGGCTGTCGAGCTGTATGTCATTTGGAGCGAGGGTGACACGCTTGGCATAGCTGACCGACCCGCAGCGACTCACGAAGAGCTACTGATTCCGATCCATAGCATAGCGGTGCAGCTTCATCCTCCTTTGATGGTTGCTTATGTGGGCTCTGCAGCTCGCTGCTTGCAGCCTTTCGTTGTTACTGGAGAACAATATTCAACGCCACACGCCGAAAGCACTGCTACTGCTGCTACTAATTTCGACGACCGAACACCACCACACAGTGGTGTGATCGTTGGGAGCGTGTGGTTCTGAGTATGGCGATGAGTGTTCAAAATATTACGCAATTCCATCCTCCCTATTCGCACGCGCCCGAGGATTGGAGGCGAATGCCACTTCGACTTGTTTCGTCTACTTACTACTCTCTGACGACTGTGCTGGGGAAGCAGCATATGCATGTCGGTAATATTGGAGGCGAACCAGCCCAAGGCTGAAAGCCTCCCTAATAAAGATAAATAATAATAATAATGTAGGTAATTGGTGGATTTGTTAGTTAATTCAACGCTTTTGGACAATGCTGGACATTTACCAGTTTTTCAATAGTTTCTTGTTGAAAATCAACATTCGGAAGCATTGTTATCTATGCGTAGCCATATTTCTGATCGATTGGTGATAAAATTATTGAAATTGTACCAGGCGCAGCTGAGTTATTAACGTTCAAAATCTTTCTTAATTTGTTACATGTTCCATTTTCGGTTTTCACAAAGTGTACCCTCATATAGAAATCAAAGACGTAGTCCTACGTCAAAACAGGTTTGAAATATGTTTGACATTGTTCGTATGAGTTCAGGCGATCTATTAATTTTTCAACTGATTAGATATTATTATGAAGATCTTCAACTGCCCAACAATTCAAAGCACATTTCCCACTTATTCTCTCAAACACCAGGTTGCTCATAAATTACTCTAAAGTCAGTTGATCAAACATCCCTTAAACTCCTCAGGATATTTGTTCAAGATATTAACTTGATCAGGTATTATTCTGAAGATCAACTGTATGTATGTAACGGCGCCGGTGGTGTAGTGGTAAGCGTGATTACCTCTCACCCCAGCAGGCCTGGGTTCAATCCCAGCCGGTGCCGCCGGGATGTTCTGAGGCATAACATCTCTGATCACGCCTTCCTTCGGATGGGAAGTAAAGCCGTTGGTCCCCGGTTCATGAGTTGATGAGTCGATAGGTAGGGGCCAGGTATGGGAGCTGCCTTCCTGGCACGTCGGTAGCATTGGTGCTCAGCAAGGAAAACAAGATCGACGGAAAAACAAAACCAAAGGAAAAAAAAAAAAATGTATGTATGTATGTATGTATATACAATCCAACTTCCACTGTTCGGCAGTGTTTTTATGCGTGAAAA